ATTTTATTTTTTTATTTTTTTTGCAATTTTTAAAATGCCGTGTCATGTTGATACAATCGTAAGGGTTAATCAAGTTCGTTTAACTGATAGAGAGGATTTAAACCTGACCGTCGCGTGGGCCATAGGTGCTTATCCTCTTGAGGGCGAAGATCGTGAACTGGAAATGGTTTTGTTTGTTCCGATAAGAGAGGATGAGAGAGATCCTAATATTCAGTCGATTTTTATAAAGGATGAGTATTATAGCGTTGGCGGAAAAGTAGTGCCTGATATTTATAATGACAATTTTAAACTAAAAGTAATTTACTTTAAGAACTTCGCTTGTTAATTATCAAAAACGGTATTTTTAAATTTTTTTTTTTTTAGATGACTGTCTCATCTTCTACTCATGTTACTATCAAGAGGGATCTCGGTTCGAATAGGTGTCCGTTAAAAGTTGCACTTGTTGGTATCGCTTAGGATGCGATGAAAGAGATTAATGAAGAGAACACAATAGTTGACGTATCTGTAAAGGATTTTGCCGGTCAAAAAAAATATAATTTCATAGTCAAAATCGTATTTCCACATCACAATAGCAGGTTTAAACATTTAAGGAGTTCTATTCGGCCAAACGAGTCAGTTTTTTTTGTTACAGGACAGATGGAGGTTATTGAGGATAAATTGTATGCAAATGCCGTTGATATTTCTTATGTTGATGTTCCTTCCACAATCAAAAGAAAAGCATCAGATTCTGTTAGTTTGCACACTATACCGGGATGTTATAGATCTGTACGATCAAAACTTTTAACCGCTCACCAAAATGTCTGTGAGAATTCAGACAAAGCTTCGGTCGTTGAAAATTCTAACTGTGCTAAACTTGCGGTTGATTTAACTGCCAATGACCATCATTCTCCAAAATGCGAGAGAGTGGATAGTGTAGCAGATGGTTATGCTGAGTATGCCAATTCGACTGCTAGCAATTATTATTCATCAAGGCATGTTAGAGTAGACGACAAAGAAGATGATCATGTTGAGTATGTTGATTCGCATTATAATGAAAATAAGCATATGATTGAACATAATAAGGAACATACGGAAAAAAGTGATAGATGCGGAGAAAACATTATCCTCAAAAATGAAGGGGAGGCAAGTCACCTTAAAAAGACAAATAAGGGTAAGGAAAAGGAGTTTCAACCTATAGTACATAATACAAGATGTCGAACTAATAAAGCCGAATAAATACTTATCAGTTTGTTTATGTTATTATATGGTTATCTACTTTTCACCATCTAGTTTTGATAGCAATATCTTGTATTGTTAGTTTTGTATATATCTGGTCTTCGCTTAATGTATCCTAACATTTATTTTGTCTGTTTGATTATAATCATAAGAAAATTTTGCAATATGTCAGTTCAAGAATTTATATATGCGATTTTGTAGTATAAGTTTGATTTATAAATAAATATTTTGTTAGTAATTATTTACACCGAAGAAATTGTGCTGATTAACATGAACTAAAAAATGTATAAAATATTTATCATTTTTTGTCTCAGATTCGTGATCGCATGGTCTGTATAGATCATCGGTTAAGAGTTATTTGAAAAGTAATCAAATCATAATAGCTTTATCGGTAAAGCATGTTGTCAAAGTTAACGCAAGAAATTAGTGATGCGATTAACATAGTTGATTTGGGTAAAAATTTCATACATAAAGGGTATTAAAATTATACATGATGGTGCAGTTTTTTGCTTAAAGGTGGGTATGTAATTTTATTTTAATTCGAATTTAAAACGAAATAAAAGTTGGATTTTGGGAGATTTTAGAAAAGTTTAAACGTGTCAATACGACTAATATTTTAAGGGCGTGGTAGGATTTGTATAACGTTTTAAAGATTATTAGTACATCTAATAAGAGACCTGCACAATAATAAAGACAAACTCTTTCCGACGATCCCTTGTACCAAATTTTCAATAACCAAAATTTCAAAAAAATCTGTTGTTAGAAATATACGA